CACACACACACACACACACACACACACACACACACACACACACACTTTATGGTCTGTAGAGTATAATCTGTGTCTCCCATTGTCCTTCAGTATAGATCCATCCACTTAGCTAACAAGAGTCCCAACCCTGTAAGACACTCTCCTTTCCCCTTGCAGTAGCCATCAATTGCCAAAAGTTCCTTAGGTTGGGTTGGGATTTCTTACCTGCTTCCCCTGCTTCCCCTTTTGATGTGGGATTTTTTTTTTTTTTTTGGTTTGAGCTTGCATAGGACTTGTGTATGAACAATGGTGGATGCACACCATTGTTCATGAGTCACTGACCGGCTATCTGGAAGACTGTTTCCTTGTGGCTATCCACCGCCTCTGGTTCTTACAATCTTTCCACCTCCTCTTCTGCAATGACCCCTGAGCCTTGGGAGGCAGAGGTTTGAAATTGCTGTCTTATTCAGGGATATGCACTCTGTAGCCTCTCGTTCTCTGCACATTGGCCAATTGTGGGTTTCTGTGCTAATCACTATCTGCTGCATAAGAAAACTTCTCTGGTGAGAGTTCTGAAATGCAATCATCCTAAGTGCAGAGGTTGCATTGAAGATGTGTCACTTAGCAGACATTCTCTGCTTTGCACTTAAGAAAATTTTGAAAACACAACTACAGTAGGATATCAGAAAAAAAATCCAACATTTTACACTTCTACTAGGCTAAAATAAATGGCTTTTATGCTTCAGAATGTATACCCTGAAGTCAATAAGCATATTTTTATTTTTTGGTTTTTTGAGATAGGGTCTCCCTGTAACCCCAGCTGGCCTGGAACTCACCATGTAGACCAGGCTGGCCTTGCTCTCAGAGATCTGCCTGCCTCTGCCTCCCAGGTGCTGGAATTAAAGGCATGTGCCACCATGCCCAGCTTCATGCTTTTATTTTTAAGAAGATCTATCAAACATATTTCAATTTTTATACCATGTTTTAAAGAAAAAATATTTAAAGTAGGATTTTAAAAATATTTCTTCTACACTGCTTTTTATTTATTTTATGTTTGTGTGAGTCATGCATGAGTGTGGATGTCTGAGGACAACTTGTAGGATGCAGGTTCCAGGGATCAAACTCAATTTGTCATCAAGCATGGTGGCAAGAGCCTTTACCTGTTGACTCGCCAGCCCTCAACCCCAGGATTTTAAGATTTTTGGTTCCAGCTCATTGGTACTACAACCAGTTAAGGTTTGAAAGTCCAGTAGACTCCTGTCTCTTGTACCGTTCTCCAGGGATATTACTTTTTATATTATGCTTTTAAAAAAAGACTTATTTTATGTGTATGTGTGTGCGTGCCTATGTGTTATGTGCACCACATGTATGCAGGTATCAGAGGCCAGAAGAGGGTGTCATATACCCTGGAACTGGAGTTACAGATAGTTATTAACTGTCATGTGGGTTCTGGGAACTGAACCCAGGTCTGCTGTAAGAGCTACTAGAGCTTTTAACTCTTTAGCCACCTCTCCAGCCCTGTACATTATTCTTAGGTTACAAGTACAACATTAGCAGAGCTAATGTTCTAGCACAGCTTATTTCATTAGCTCTAAGTGAACCATGACAAGTGTTAAGAACATGAACTTCTGCAAGTAACTCAGAGAAATTAATTCTTTTTTTGTCAATGGTACTTGACAAGGTTACTTACTGAGGGACAATTTAATGTCAGGGGGAAGGGGTAAGCCTACATTTCAACTCACCACTGGATCTGTAGGATGAAAAATATTTAGCAAGCGGTTACAAATCTCTCTAGGTAAAATATGGTCTTGACTTCCGGTATTTCCTGGTCGGATGCCACGCAATGCCAAAAAAACTGCTAGTGGGGATCCCATACAGAAGAAATTCTCAACCTAAAATGAAAAAGCCATCCTAAATTTAAAAAATGATGAAGTGTTATTTTCAACAGAATCTGGACATAACATGTCATATAATAAAAATACAAACAATAAAACTACCTCTAAGTATATTTGTTTTAAATAAGCTTTTTGTGCATGATCTGCTAATCATATGGCAACCATTAATCGTTCTAGAATAATCTACTTGCAGGAGGATTTTCTAATTCAAAAATCTAACAGAAGCTAAAAAATGAGGAAAGGCGGGAGGAGGAGGAGCCTGTCACTTAGTGTCCTCTACACAAAGCAGATTCACTGAGCTGATTATGTGACTACAGCAGGTGCTGCACATTATCCTGTGTGGGCACAATGGAGAAAGACTGTCACAGAAGACTAGACACGAAGGATCAATTCCAGCTCCGGGGGCTTTAGAGAGGGTGGGATGGACAGTGGCCAGCATAAGACAAGAAGCATTTCTAGAGCTGAGGCTGGGATCTGGGGCTAGGAGAATGACAGAGCAGACTGACAGAACCATAGGAATAAAGAGAAGCAGGAAGGCATCTGGCCGATTTTTGAAAAAACAGAGGAGCGAAAAATTGGGTATGGGAGAAGATATACTTGGGATGATAATATTCAGATCTGTCTAAGGAATTTAACGTATTTTATAAATAGTGAAGAACAGGGTTTGACCCATACTTTAGCCAGTTTAACCTGGTAGTAGTGTGTGGATGCCCTAGACTGTTGGTTTTGAAAAAAACCTAAAAATCGATTGAAAGAACTTGGGTAAGAGAGAAGCTCAACTAGGGCAGATAGGTGGTATGCTATTCACAATGGGAACATGAGAGGATGGGGTGTCACACGACTGAGTGAAAATTGATGTAGAATGGGTCAGAGACAACCCACAAGACTGGAGTCTGGAGGGTTGGGAGAACAGTTGCTCCACTAATTGCCAGAGGACACTAACTGTAGGTAAAGCTTGTTATTCTTAGTAAGTCTGAGGTATCTGTAACAAGATATGCAGCTGAAAGTTTAGAGCAGCAGTTAGAGAACTGGACATGTTATCCTCTATGTATCATTGTCATAGCAGTAGAATGCAAAGCAAAGAAAACGAGTGAGCCTGCCTGGGACGTGGTCAGAAACGGGGGTGGCTGTACACAGGCCTCCACTTAGTCAGCAGGAGGAAGGGGAACTACAGAAGGGAGTGATAGAAGAATGAAGTGGTACCATGGGACCCACTCTGACTCTAATGTCAGCCATATGTCACTTTAACTATACCGTGACAGTGCCCTCTGCCTTCAAGTACTTTTAACTCTTTCCCAGAAGATGACAAAGTGACTTTTATTTTCAAAATGAAAAAAAAAAAAGAAAAGAATATTTATTTTTGAAGGAATATTTTGGAATGTATTCATATTGGAGAAAGTTTGAGAAATTTTCATCTCAAGGACTGGGTAGTGTCAACATGCTCAATGGCTGAAGAAAATTACCATGTGTAAATAAATATTAAAAGTAAAAGCACTTAATTTTGCAGTGCTGAGATTGAACCCATGGCCCTCACACATGAAAGGCAGGTGGCTCTACCACTGAGTTGAACTGTCAGCCTAAGGAAACCTATTTAAATAACAGGGGCATGGATGATAAAAAACATTTTTTTCAAAGGAGTAAGTTTAGCTTCTTGTATAAAGTGAGAAAAGATTTGAAAGAGATGTAAAAAGAAGCCATGCATGGTGGCTCATATCTGCAATCCCATGGGCTACACAGTGAATTTGAGGTTAGCAGGGGCTGCTTAGATTCTGTCTCAAAAAACATGGGCTGGGGAGATGGCTAAGCAGTAAGAGCACATGCTTTTCAAGCATCAGGACCTCAGTTTAAATCCTCAGCACCCATGTAAAAAGTTGGGTGTGGCTAGTAACCCCAGCATTGCTTGGGTGGAGAGTGACAGAGGAAAACCCGTCTTTGTGCTCTGGTCCCTGTATGCATGCGTGGGTGCGCCACCCCAACAACACCTCCCTTGCAAATTATACCAAAACTAGGTGAGAAGAGGAAGCCATGAAATTGTGCTTGATATAGTATACACATATCCTTTTAGCAAAATGCTTTCTGACACTCCAAAAATATTTGCTAAACGGCTATGTCCATAAATGTTTTTGTTTATGATGACTGTAGCTTTAGACAAATGCACAGAGCTGTTATTCTCTCAGTAGGGTAATGACTGCTTAACTCATATCAAAGAAGCTTTTCAAAGTTATTTATTATTGTGTGTGTACATGGGGGCACACATGTGGAGGTCAGAGGACAACTTTGTGAAGTTGATTCTCTCCTTCTACCTTTACATGAGTTCCAGGGATTGAACTTGAGTCGCAAGGTTTGCATGCAAGTACCTTTACCTGCTGAGTCATCTCACTAGCCTCCAAAAGTTCCAATCTCCTTGTTCAGGGGTGAATAAACAGCTGCATTCGAAAATATTAAATGACTTGGCTAATATTATCTAACTAGACAGGATAAAGTCTCATAACCAAAATGAAAGTTTCCCATTCTCCACACTGACGCTTGTCAATAGTCTTCTTTTCCTTGCTTCTTGAAGTTCAGTGGTCAACTGTGACAGAATGAACACCAGTATCCTCAAAGTAAATCTATCTGCATGGAAAGACCTTTGCTCCCTTTCTGACCCTGAAGTCCTAAATATAACTTGCTAGGGTCTTATTTCTTGCCATACTGCTTCTTAAATTCTGGACTACATTTTTCTCTAAATAATAATTAAAAACCTACATTAAACTATGTATGACTATGGCATCCAATTACAGTGCATAAGTTCTAACAATGTGGTACTGATTCTGAGATCCTAATATACTTAATTACCCAAACTTTATACCCCCCCAAAAAAACACTAGAACATGCAAGAGTTTACTTTTTCTACCAGATAAATTCTACACAATTAGCATTAATTATATATAATAGTGATGATAAAGATGGAACTCAAATTCCATATTAGGATAAAACCAGAGACCATATCCTTTTGTAATTAAGTATTTAATATTCATACACTCATTTAGATCCAATCCATTCCCCCATTCCTTCCTTACCAACTACTCCCTATTCCCATCCCCAACTCTTCCCTCTCAACTTCATATTATCTCTCCTCCTTTTGTCCCTCCATCCCCCACCCCCTCTTTAATAGTGGAAGAGTCCATTTAGTGCTGCATGGGTGTGGCCTTCTACTGGAGCATGGACAGCCTCTTAGTGCATTTTACAACATTACTATTTTTCCTCTTTCTGTGCTAAGAATTGAATCTAGAGTTTTGTGCATGCTCAGCAAGCACTTTGCCACAGAACTACAAGCCCAGCTCAACAATATAGTTTTAAAATACACTGTATAAATTAAAAAACTCTATAATCCAGTGGGTGTGGTGGCACATACCTAGTCCCAGCATTTGGGAGGCAGAGGCAGGCAGATCTCTGTGAGTTCAAGGCCAGCCTGGTCTACATAGTGAACTCCAGGCCAGCTGGGGCTACAGGGAGCCCCTGTCTCCAAAAGACCACAAAAAAAAAAAAAAAAAAAAAAAGTAATACATAAAGAGTCAATACATTTTTTTTTCTATATCATTCCATACTTTAACCTGTACACTAAGCTCTGTTATAGAAGAGACACATCTCAAGAACAGGTAATGTGGGACATTAGGCATGTAGAGAGCATTAGGAAATTCATGACATAGCCATTTCCTACTGCAAGCAAGGAGGTTTCCATATATATTCCTAACATCACATGGAGTGATAATGCTCCCCTCAAGAGTTGAGGACTAGCTAACAAAAACCTCAGTGCCAGGAAAGGGCAACTTTCTTCCAAGAGACTCACAAAACAATATTGGCTGCCTCCCAGAACTTGGAGGTAAGACCCTATTGCTGAAGACAGGACATACTTCAGACACAGAATTTGGAGAAATTGAGATGGAACTGATCTGAAAGCTGCCTCTATGAGGACCAGCTCTCATACTATCAGAAGATGCTAGGGAAGCTGCCAGAGAAGAAAAGCAAACAATCCACCCAGCTGTAAAGTCTATGAACCGCAAACAATCCACCCAGCTGTAAAGTCTATGAACCACAATAATGACTGACTCAGCAAGATATCCCTGGATACAATAGTGGCACTTTTACTTTTGGTGTAACCAACAGCTATCTGATTGGACTTAAGGTCTGCTCAACAGGAGAATTCATGCCTGGCACTGTAAACCCAGGCAAAGAGATTATGACTGGAGTCATAGACCCTAGAGGAGAACCTAGCAGCCCCTTTCCTAAGCAAATATTTCTAACTGTAATTAATTAATTAATTAATTGTTTTTTTGAGACAGGGTCTCTCTGTAGCCCCAGCTGTCCTGGAGCCACTATGTAGACCAGGTTGGCCTTGAATTAACTGTATTTTAAATACTTATCATTATACACATAGATAACTGTAGCTCTCACCCCCTCATTAAAGAAGCTTATTTTTTTGCACAGACGGAGACAAATACAGAGATTCACAACTGGTCAAAATGTAGAGAATAAGTGACCATGGGGTGCCCAGCCCCAACTGATATATCTAAAATGCAATCCCTTATCTAAGACACAGAGAACTTCATGGAAGAGGGGATAAAAAATACCCCCTCTGAGGGGACAGGAGGCCTGCTGCTAGAAAGATTGAAAGAGCTAGATAGTGTTTTCATCCAGATAAGGAAGAGAAGCCACATCTGTGAAATCTCAACAACATGACCTACATAATAAGAACACTAGTTGACAAGCCAGTATGGATAGTGGAAATTTCACAAGGCCCCAGGCCCGGACGAAGAGCGACAGGCAATTGCTGAATGCCGAGGGAGTGAGAATTAGTTTTCTCCAGGGACAAGCTCCCTGTCAGGTCGTACAATCCCAAGTAGTTAGCCCTAAACACACTCACATGCAAGCAACACTAAATGGACTCAGTAGGTTGTTTCCATATACACATATGTATGTAGGTATGTAACAATAAGTAAAGAAGAGGTCAAGAAATTGAGAGGGAGTAGGGAGGGGTGTGAGAGGAGTGTGGGGAGAGAGAAATGAAGTAAACAGCACTCATGCATGAAATTCTCAACAAAAAAAAATCCTTTCCAAGGCTGCAGCCAATGCTGACACCTCTCTGCCACCTTAGAGTTTACTAAAGCACTGTTTTCAAGGGTCATTCTGATGCGCAAAAACTAGTTTCCCTCCCTCCCTCTCAATTCCTGCTGTCTCATTTCTTGCTGTATTCTGAAAACTCTAGTCAAATTGATCCTGTAAAATCTGTCTTGGGCTTTTGTCCTATACTTTTCATTGGCAAAATGCCCAGGTTTCTATCCCTCGAGTCACTCCTATACATTTCCATTTACTTTCTTCTTGCCACCAATCAAAAGGTTTGTAAATTCTCAACAGTAAATATTTCCCAGATCTAGCTCAAATTTCCCTCCCCACAGAGAACTTGGTGTTTCTTGTTGTAAAGTTACATCTTGCCACCTGGCTGGCTTGGAACTCTATGTACACCAGGTTGGCTTTGAAATCACAGATAGACCTGCCTCAGCCTCCTGAATGCTGGGCTTAAAAGTGTATGCCACCATGCCTGGCCTTATGCTGTTCCTTTTATAGAGAATAGCATTTCTCTTCTCTTTGGCTTGGTCAAATGTAGTATGAGATAAGAATAAGTGTCATTATTTTTTTTGTCAACCTTTCCAGGCAAAATTAAAGCCTCCCTCCCTTGTGCATGTATTGATCTACATACTGCTAAAGGGCAGCAATGACACTTACATCCTGGGGGCTGGAGAACCATCCTGTCCATTCTAGTCTTTGAAACTAACAGTTCCAAACACACAGTAGGTGTTCAATAACCATGAATAAATTTCCATTTGCATCAGGAAATCACATTTAAATGGTCAGAAAATATTGACACAAATAATGAGAAACGGATCACTCTTTCCTTACCTTAAACTTTAAGGCAGGTGTTTGTGTAATGGATGACGCCTTCAATCCATGCAGCCGCTCTTCTATCTCCCTCAGCCTAGGAGGTGGTATGAGGGCACACACATACATTTGTAACTTCACTACCAATCAGCCTTATTCTAGATGCCTACCATTTTATCACGTGGCAACTGATGACCCGCTACAAACCCCTCACAGTAATCCCTGTTGACAATGCTAAGAAATGTTCCTGGGGTACTGTTCAAAGCCTGAAGAAGTTATTTATAACACCTTACTGGAAAAGTTTTTTTTTTTAATGTAGAAATGATTTTTAGTAAAATATAAGGCTTAAATATATACAAGCCGATACTCGTATCTTTAAAAATTATACTAGGCAGTTTATATTGTCTTGTTCATTCTATTTTTTTAAAGTGTCTTTTCCTTTCCTATATTTAATAAAGATCTTAGAGATCTTTTCATTGCATTGCCCCCATCTACTTTAATTTTAAAACCATTATTTGACCTTCATATGAACAACCATAGTTTTTAACCCTTCTGCTAATGAACATTTATCATTTTATTACCATATTTGGTTTTACTTACATTTAATAAACAATGAAAGTAAATTCTTTTTCAAGAAAGCTATAGCTCACTTTCTAAAATAGATGCATTTATTTATGCACATATTCATATATATATTATGTATACATGCATGCATGTATTTACTTATTATGAGACAGAGTTTCAGGTAGCCCAGCCTGACTTCAAATTCTTTTTTTAAAAAAATATTTTATTATTTTTATTTTATGTATATGAATGTATTGCCTGCACATAGATAAGTGCACCCATGTTGTGCAGTGCCCGTGGAAGACATGAGGCCGTCAGATCCCCTGGAACTGGAGTTACAGACAGTTGTTAGCTGCCCTGTGGGTGTTGGGATTCGAACCCAGGTCTCCTGCAAGAACAACCAGTGTTCTTAATTGCTAAGCCATTTCTCCAACCCCTGACTTCAAATTCTTTATCTTCCTGTTTCTACATTCCAAGTTCTCTGATTACAGGCATATGTCATCATGACCAGATCTAAGCTTATTTTTCTATTTTTAAAATTTATTTTATTTAGATTTTAAATTATGTGTATGTATGTTTGTACACTTGACTGCAGCGCCTGGAGCTGGAGTAGCAGGTGGTAGTGAGCCACCTGATGTGGGTGCTGGAAACTGAACTTGGGTCCTCTTGAAGAACAGTACTTGCTCTTAACTGTTAAGCTGTTTTTGCAGCCCCAATTTATTTTTAATTATGTGTATGTGTGCGTATCTGTGTGTGAGTATGTGCATGTCAACGCAGGTGTCTACAGAGGCCAGAAGGGGGCATTGGATTTCTAGGAGCTGGATGGAGTTACAGGCAGTTGTGAACTCCCTGATGTGGGTGCTGGGAACCAAACTTGGGTCCTTTGCAAGAATAGTTTGTTCTCTTAACTGCTAAGCCATCTCTTGAATTCCTTAATCTTATTTTAAAACAAAGTTTCACTAGATTTATACATTTAAAACGCTGCTCTGAGGCTTGGTAAGCATGCCATTTTTCATGACAGATAATTATTAAACATGATATTTATGTTTTGCCTACGGCATTTAGTAAGTCAAATCCCAACCCAACTGCTCTAAGAAAACAAAATCAACATTTCCTGAGTAGAGATTTGGTCAATTAATACAGCTGTCTTTATATATAACTTTATACTATCAGAATGAGTAATTTTTCAATGTAAATCTGTATCAGTAAGAGGAAAAAGATGGAGCATGCAACTATCAATTAAGATGAGAATGAAGCAAAGAATTAAAAGATAGTACCAAGAAGGCCACAAAAGATCATGTAATTATTACATCTGTTTATAATCATATAAAACTTTTAATATAATGTATGTAAAAATAAATTTGCCAAGAAAAACAAAGAGCTTTATACTGTTTTCAGAATAATAATAATAAAGGTATAAATATCTACCCTTAAATATCAGCAAAACAAGTGATAACAAACCATTAAAAATATTTTATTATTTCTATTTTATGAGTATGAATGTTTCCCTGCATGTATGTAAGTGCACCTGTGTTGTACAATGCCCGTGGAGGTCAGAAGAGAGTGTTTGCTCCCTTGAACTAGAGTTAAGGACAGTTGTTAGATCACATGTGCTGGGAACTGAACCCTGGTTCACGGCAAGGGCAGCCAGTGCTCTTAACCACTGAGCCATCTCTCCAGCCTCCAACAGTTTTTATATGGATTCTAAGTACTGACTCAGCCTATAGTAAGTTCTAGCAAGTTTACTTGTAACAAACTGCGAGCAAAGACAGAAAGAAAGGAGGAAAATGAAATTATTTTATGTTACAGAAAAATGCACATAATTAGTATGAAGATTAATAGCCAATAGCTTGATTAGGTATGCTATCTAGTAATCTTTACCTTGAACGATGCATTATTTTAACATGAAGATCTTAAAGCTTTCTCTTTTTTGCCTTTTTCTGAAAGGGATTTCTATTTTTAATTATATGTCTGTGTTTGTGTGGTGTATGCATATGAGCTCTAGCAATTCCACTAATTATTAAAATTCAAAAGCAGGCTAGTTTACCGTCGTTTCGTTATATAGAGTTCATCAAGAAGATGTCGCTCTTCGTAACTCATCCACCGTTCATCAGGTAATTCTTCTTCCTTCTGCAGCAACTGTTCATAGAGTCTAACTGGATTCCAGCCTGTCATTATGTCATAAGTGATTACACATCCCAAGGAATGGGACACTATTGAGACTTTACCCCCTTTTTCTTCAAAGTCTGGATTCCGAGAACAGAAAAGGGAATATAATCGATTCAGCTCTTGCTGAAGGCCTTTAACTAGCTGTTTGAAATAAAAAAAAATAAGTATATTAGACTTTTCACTGAGTTTTATAAACTATTTCTGAACTCAAGAAAGAAAAACAAACATGACTGACTAAACGTATGTAGGTTATTAAATTCACTCAGGTGCTTTAAAATCTTAGAGGAATGAATGTATACAGATATAAACCATGTCATCACCACAGAATACATAATAGGCAGATACCATCCACACAGATCTTTTTGCACGTTTTAAGTAAATTACACAAGTCAGGTATTCCATAGATAGAAAAGAAACATTTCTTGAAGATTCTGGTAAGATCGCCAAAGACGCCTGGAACTTTTCACTTCATTGCAACTTACCCATATGTAATTCTAAATTTTTCTGCCATGTGGTTTTTGGTTACGGCAAATTTTTAAAAAATGAATATAAGCTTATAACAGGTATATTGCAATATATACTATGTAGTTAAGAGGAATGTAGTAAGAGGCTACCACAAGGCTAAGAAAACGCTAATGTTGGCCTTCTTGATATTTCAAAATTCCCATTATGTTGGGGACACACAGATGAGCAAAAAGATGATTTCTATGGCTGAAGTAAACAAACGTAATTACTAATGTGGGAAGTATCTTTGTACGTTTTGAAAAACTGTTTTCCTTGAAGTTGAGTATCAATAAATATTATTGAAAAATCCCACAAAATCTGAAGGATAAGATTCCTTTATCATCCAAGCTCATCTTGGTTCCTGACCTAAAGGTAAAGTCCTCTCTCCTTTCTCCTCCTACTTTGACATGGCAATCTTCCTGCCTTAGCCTCCTGAGTGTTGGGATTACAGGAATGTCAGGGATGACTATTAACCACAAGCTCTCTGTTTTTCTATGAAACTCATGTGGCTCAAAGACAAGATGATTTAAAGCACTGGGTATTCTTTTTCGCACCTCATTTACCCTAGCCACTGGTTTCCTGTCTGTGGAATGTTTTCTTCATTTCATTCTGAGTATAACTTTCTTTATAGACAGAGGGGCAAGATATAAAATGATCATTTTCTTAGTCATTAGACAATAGCCACAGCTTTGATTCTGACACCTTTTTCTTTCTGGTTCTTGCCATCAATGTCAACTTTAAAAAACACCCCAAATTATTGTTGAGAGATGTTTCAGGACACTGTCTTCAAAAATTTATTTGTTAAATGTCTATGAATGTTTTGCCTGCATGTACGCAAGTGCATCATGGGTGTATAATGCCCATAGAGGTCAGAAAAGAGTGTAAGATCCCCTGGAACTGGAATTAAGGACAGGTGTTAGCTGCCATGTGGGTGCTGGGGACTAAACACAGGTTCTCTGCAAGAGCAGCCAGTGCTTTAAACTACTGAGCATCTCTCCAGCCCCCAGGATACTGTCTTAAAGACATATCAACTGTAGCATTATCTATGTTCCCACCTCCCTGCTGACCTGGACACACTAGGGAGACCAAGCTGGCCTTGATCTCAAGAGATCCGCCCAACTCTGCCTCTTGAGTGCTGGGATTAAAGACATTCCACCATACCCTGCTCAGGCTTCTTTATTGTTTCAAAATTAGTTAAAAAAAATTTTTTTAGGGCCTGGAGAGATGACTTAGTGGTTAAGAACACTGGTTGCTCTTGGAGAGGACCTGGGTTCAATTCTCAGCACCTACATGGCCACTAACAACCATCTGTAACTCCAGTTCCAGGGGATCCAACACCCTCTTCTGATCACCAAGGGCACTGCACAACATGGGTGCACCTACCTATATACAGGCAATACACTCATACACATAAATTTTTTTTTAATTAAAATTATTTTTATTTTGTGTGTACAAGCATTTTGCCTACATACATTTAAGTGTACCTGTGCATGGAATACCTGTGGAGTCCAGAAGAAAGTGTTGGATCCATTGGAACTGACAGTGCAGACAGTCACCATGTGGGTGCTGGGAATTGAACCCAGGTCCTCTGCAAGAGCAGCAACTGCTGTTCACTGCTGAGCCATTTCTCCAGCCTCTAAATTAGTTTTGTGAATGGTGTGGAAGTGCATGGTATGTACTTCCTTCATGTAGCTGGGCACTGCTCCATTATACCTCTTCTGTAATATCATATCCCAGGCTCTACTTTTCTTCATCTTCCTGATTGCAAGATTTTTCCCACCTATAGGTTAACAGAATGCCATGAATGTGAATCTTTCCCCTAGTCAGTGCTAGTTTGCTTTTCCTTCTGGAGTTTATAGGCTTTAAGTGGGTTAAAGAGACAATGATGTGAAATGCTCATGGGACATCTACCCTGGATGATCAGCTAGCAGCTGAATACAGAGTTTGGAATGTTGAGGAGATGGGCTGTGCTGGAGATAAACATTTATAAGATAATTAAAAGAAAACTGACTTGGGGCTGGAGAGATGGCTCAGTGGTTAAGAACACTGGCTGTTCTTAGAGAGGACCTGGGTTTGAATCCCAGCACCCACATGGCAGCTAACAACTGTCCGTAACTCCAGTTCCAGGGGATCCAACAGCCTCTCCTGCCCTCCATGGGCACTGCACGACACGGATGCACTTACCTACATGCAGACAATACATGCATACACATCAAATAAAAGTAATAAATAAAATATGAAAAAAAAATAAAGAAGACTATGTTAGAACTGGCCATAATTCTCTTTCTCTTTTGGTTCTTGCTGTCACCAATCAGATCATATCTCGCCCAATACTGGCAGAGAAACAGGAATGAAGAAAAATCCAAGAAGATGGTAGCTAAGAGAGGAGGTTGCTGTGATGACTAACCAAAGAATCTCTGCACTAAGAAAAATAGCATAAAGAACATGCTGAATATTGTCAAGGACTAGCATGAACAAAATCAGAAATGGACCGGCTCTGAAAAGCATAGAGCAGCTCTGCTGAAAAGCTTTGTTCATTCCACAGAATACCTATGATCTAAGTGTCTGCTAATACTACAATTTCTGAAGGAACAAAACTGAGTTTCTTTATAATTGTATGTGTTGCTTAGTAAAATATGTTGAAGTGTTAGTAAATAACTGCCCTCGTACATAGTACTCAAATTAACTCACAGCTTAACATGCAAAAGAAGAACAAAGCGCTCAATTTTACCGAAAGACAGGAAAACTTATCAATGATAAAAAGCTTTGAAGGGATTTGACTTCTAATGATGGAAACGCCATTGAACAAATTTCAGTATATTATGAAGTAGGATCAATAATTTTCTGGTATTTGGATTTCACAAAATGGATCCAAACAATTCCTCTGAGTTTTTTTTAAGCTGACTGAAACTAAAGAAAGTGCCTGTCTCTGAAAGGTAACTTTCAGGGGCTTTGATTCACTGTAGTGACAAATGTTTAAAGAATTTCTTCTGGCCAAAAGGCAATTACTACAATTACTGGGGGAAATTCTGATGTCAGTAAACAACTGTGGTCAAATTTTTACCTGAAACTTTGAGTTCTATTCAATTATAATCAAACAACTTATTTTTTTCACATTTATCTAATTCATTCATTCATTCAAGTGATGGCATGACACTCATGAGGAGGTCAGGACAATGTGCAGGAGTCAGTTTTTTCCTTCTACCATGTGGGTTCCAGGGACAGAACTCAGGTCCTCAGGCTTGGCAGCAAGTGCCTTTATCAATTGAGCCATCTCATGGCCTTCCAACAACCTCTTTATCTCCTTCACCTTGTCTTCCATAGCCACCACCCAATCCATAAATTCTTCAAATTTTCCTCTAATTTTTTAAACATTCCCCTTTGCTCTCTCTCCCTCTTCTGTGTTTGTGTGCATGTGAGTACAGGTACACATGTGCCACAGAGTGAATGTGGAGGTCAGAGGACAACTCACGGGAGCTGGTTCTCTCCTTCCTCCATGTGGGTCCTGGGTATCAAACTTAGGTCATCAGGCTTGGTAGCAAGCACCTTCACTTGCTGTGCTGGATGACGTTAGTGTCAACTTGACACATCTAGGTTGAAGGAGCCTCAATTGGGGAATTTCCTCCATAGGACTGACCTGTGGCCATGTCTGTGGGGCATCTTCTTGATTGTTAAGTGATATGGGAGGGCCCAGCTCACTGTGGGTGGTCCCACCCCTGGGCAGGTGGGCCTATGTTGCATAAGAAAGCAGGCTGAGCACAGGCCAGAGAGCAAGCCAGTAAGCAGTGATCCTCCATGGCCTATGCTCCAGCTCCTGCCTCCGGGTTCCTGCCCTGAGTTCCTACCTTGGGCTCCCTGAGAAACTGTGACTTGGGAGATCTAAGCTGAAACCCTTCCTCCTCAAGTTGGTACTGGTCAGAGTATTTTGTCACAGCAATGGAGAAACAAGCTAGAACACCTGCTGAGCTATCTTGTTGACTCCAAATTTTCATCTCCTTATGGCTCAGCCCATATGAATACTTATAGTTGCCTTCTCCCTAGCCTCAATTAAAAGCTCTTAAGCGTTCCAATTCTTATACAGCCTCTTTGCAGAATGGTCTTTTTCGGACTTATCTGAAAAGTGGTTAAAATTTCCACTTTCTTAGAGAAAATTATGTTCAACTAGTTATTTTCTTACTTGTCTGATTTGTTCTGAATCTTCTTTGCAGTCTTTATCTTCCTAAACATCAAGTGATCTTCCTCAGGGATCTGACTGGGACCCGTTTCATCATCCTACATTTTTTCTCTGGGTGATCTCATATCAATGCCATTAGATTAAAAAAAAAAATCTTAAAACTGAACATGAATTATTCTAGAAGAATAGTTTTAGCTTCATTTGTCTAACCTAACCTATGTTTTACAACTCTAGAAGGAAACTTAAAATATATGCTTAAGGGACTGGAGAGAAGGCTCAGCAAGGCTCAGCAGTTATGAGTAAGGCTGCTCTTGCAGAGGACCGGGGCTTGGTTCCCAGCACCCACAAGGCAGCTAACAACTATCCGTAACTCCAGTTCCAGGGGATCTGATGTCCTCTTCTGACCTCTGTGGGCATTGCATGACATGGGTGCAATTAACCCACATGGAGGCAATATACTCATACACATAAAATATAATGAAAAATATTAAAATATGCATATGCTTAAGACTTAGCAAGTAGAATTATTTTATGTTCTACTCTCCTCTAAAAAAAAAAAAAAAAACAAAACTGTTTCCCCCTCCTCCATTTCTAATCAACACTGGAACAATCTTCTAGGTGTCCAAGCTAGAAATCAGTCATCTCTGTCTTTTCCCTCTTAAACTCCTTTATGTTAAACTCCTATTTTGAATTCACCCCTCCCTTTAATGCCTACAGATAGTATTTGGGCTACACCACTATTATCTCTTACTTGAATTTGTACTTGAACAGAAGTGGTTTTCCATTTTCTCAAAGATGGATGGAACAAGACACCATCAGCACTTGATCTATTATTGCCTTTGCAAATTTCAACTCACTTTTTTAGTTTAGAAAGTTGAAAATGTATCAGAATGTGCCAAGAAAATATTTGGCAAACTAAAAAGTTTATATGTACATCTACTACATATAAAAGTAGTAAGCTTGCTAATTTTTCAATGTGTGCACTAAAGATGGCTATAGGTCAATGAACCTTAAGAAATCTATGATCTTCACATAGTCCTGAAAGCAGATATAGTCAACTCTATTGCCAGGATTCATTCCATTTTGTTTCTGAAGTTAGGAATATTTTTAGATTATAAAAAATGGTAAGAACAAGCTCCTACAGAAGCAAATCCTTTCTTCTTTCATGAGGAGGTGTCTGTAGGCAGCAATGCATCTGCTTTATCACTGGAAAATTTTACCGAGGACTCAGAAACAAAATGACTTGGTATTAAAGTACCTAAAATGATTACTGACTGTTACATGTCACATGTTAACATAAGCATATTCAGTTCTTACAAGGGCCAGATGCAGTTCTCCTGTTGGCATATTCACTCTGCAGATGGGGACATCATAAATGAGCAAGCCTCACAGAGGGGTTGGAAGCAGGTTGCCTGTCTTCCACAGTCATTATACAATTTGCATAAGGCAATTTGACAGCATGTTTTTTTTTTTTTAGGAGAAAACTAGAATTACAGATAGTATGAAAGTATGTTTATCCTAAATACTATAACAATAAACCTAAAACAATTTTTTCAGGGGGTAAGAAAAGAACAATTTCAAAAAATTTCACTTTTCCTAGATTCCCCATTTCATGATCTGCTTATGTATTGTAATACTCCATTTTAAATCTTGAGGATAGGACTATTATTCTTTTTTTAAAAAATATTATTTTTATTTTATGTGTATGTGTGTATTGCCTGCGTGTAGGTAAGCGCACTTGTGTCATGCAATGCCCGTGGAGGTCAGAGTCCCCTGGGACTGGAGCTACAGACAGTTGGTAGCTGCCATGTTGGTGCTGGGGTTCGAACCTGGGTCTTCTGCAAGAATAACTAGTGCTCTTAACCGCTGAGCCATCTCTCTAGCCTCCAGGACTATTACTCTTGTACAACAGCTCAGACAAGAAACAAATTTTCTGTTAGCTGATTTAGCATATATATTATCAAATCTTAACTGAGGGCTGGAGAGATGGCTCAGGGGTTAATAGTACTAATTGCTCTTGCAGAGGACCTGGGTTCAGTTCCCAGCACCCAGACGGCAGCTAACAACTATCTCTAACTCCAATTCCAAGGGATCTGATGCCCTCTTCTGGCCTCGGCCAGCACTGCATGCATGTGGTGCACTTACATAAATGTAAGCAAAACACTCATACACATAAATTAAAAAATAAAACAACTCAGATTTCTAATAAAGGAATCTTACTCCAGCAAATTATTTTAAACACCTGCACTGATTTCCCTTGTCCCCCCCACCTGCCCCCACTAATGAGAACAGTTTACAGTAAAGTAGTCTAATGTTTGCTGGTGCTTGGTACATAGTAGATACTCACTGAACATGTATTGATTAATGAACCAGTTTAAACAAGTTAAAAAAAGCAGCTGGAAGACAGCAAGTAGATTGTGACAGACAGAATCACTATGAAAGAGTAGAGAAAAGTCTCTGTGGAGCTCTATCACCAGGCACAGACCCAGGCTCTTGCCTCATCTAGGTGAGTCACTTCTGGCAAGCAAGTGCCTTAATCTTTCCATGTACCAGTTTCTTTACTCTTCAAGTGAGCACACGAGTCACACCTACTTCAGAGGGTTTTATGAAGATCAAACAAGTTCATACATACTAGACAATCAGCAAGTGCTATTTTTGGGAAGAAGAACTTTTCCAATACAGTGACAAAATGCACTTGGTGGAGATTCTCTCATCCCACTGCACTGGCTGTCACCTCTCACCCTTCCCCCATTGCTGTTACCCATAGGGTGCTTTGAAAGAGTCCATTATAGAAGCAAGGCAGTAAAAGCATATTACATGCAAATAAGATGAAGGCAATTTCCGAGGACAATGAATAATTATAAAAACTGGTATTTTTTGAAGAACTATTTTCTAACCAATCCTCCAACCATGAAGCTATCCATTTTATTGGGGCTTTCAATGTTTGAAGATGATCAAATTCACTACTAAAAAAAGCATTCAATGTTAAGATCAGGGACATCTATATGCTATCACTCTAAGGCATACCTAAAGCAGTCAGATGGTCAAGATACTTACTTCATCTCTATAAAGTGGGCTAGTATAGTACATTATGTCCATTGCACTACTGTTCAGCATATCCCTTAAACCTCGCACTTTGTCAGGAGTAATGGAATCAACAGTGTCTACAAAAAAAATGAAACAACAAAATCAAACTTACAGACGTTCTAGGGAAAAAATTGTATTTTCTCAACTAATTTAACATTTAAATACTCAAGAACAGCCCCACAGCTGTCCTGGAACTCACTATGTAGGCCAGGCTGGCCTTGAACTCACAGACATCCACCTGCCTCTGCCTCCCGAGTGCTGGGATTAAAGGCGTGTGCGTAGACCAAGTTGGCCTTGAACTTACAGAGATCCTCCTGCCTCTGCCTCCCGAGTGCTGGGATTAAAGGCGTGTGCCACCATGCCCGGCCCAAAATATATTTTTTAAAAAATATCTTATTTTTATTTTATGTATATGAGTGTATTGCCTATATGTACGTAAGTGCACCACTATCATATTATGCCCACAGAGGAGAGAAGAGGGCGTTGGATACCCTGGAACTCGAATTATGGACAGTTGTTAGCCATCATGTGGGTGCTGGGATTCAAATCAAATCCGGGTCCTCTGCAAGAGTAGTCAGCGCTCTTTACTGCTAAGCCATCTCTCCAGCCCCACAAAATATCTAAAAAAAAAAAAAAAGAAGCAAAACACAAAAAGAAACCTGAAAAGAAAAAGAATGTTAACAGATGAAGATCATTATCTTTTTTTTTTTTTGGTATATTTATCATGGGCCTGAAAATGCCCATGTGGCATGCCCAGCAAGTCACACACAGGCATAAGTGCAAACAAATTAGCAGTAGGCTTCCATAAACAAGATAAAGTTGGTGTAATTATGTTAAAAAAAAACAAAAACAAAAACAAAAAACCAACTTACCTAATCACATTACTGGAGATGCAGAAAACTTTGCATTTCTTATAAAGCACACAGACAGCCTAGACTTGGATGAATATCACTACTTGAAAGCACAAGGCAGGCAGGAAAAGGCTTATGATTTCAGTCAATTGTCTTTTTTTTTTTTTTTTTTTGGTCTTTTTGAGACACGGTCTCCCTGTAGCCCCAGCTGTCCTGGAACTCACTACGTAGACCAGGCTGGCCTCAACCTCACAGAGATCCACATGCCTCTGCCTCCCAAGTGTTGGGATTACAGGTGTGCCCCACAGTATCTTTTAAAATCCAATTTTTCATTGCACTGGCTTAGAATTCTTTCCTTACTCTGAACTAATCTCCTGTACCTTCTTCTAAAATGTTGGAAGTCTTTGCTTTCATTTATTATGCTATGTCTCCAATCCATTTGGTATGTAGAGATCTTTTTCTTTCTTTCTTCTTTCCCTCCCTCCCTCCCTTTCTTCCTCCCCCCCAACACCCTTTCTTTTTTAAACCCATTTTCCCCTCTAGGATAACCACCACTTATCAAAGGTACTAAAAAACCAGGCCATTCCTTTATCACTGAGCTATGACACCAGCTCTACCCAGATCAGGTTTCCACATTCAGCACAGGCCTGTCTGAGGCATCTGTTGTGGGCACTGGTCTATTTACCTACAGTTGTCTCAACATTAAACTGCTTCAATAACAGAAGCTAAAGACCAGCTCCTGAAACCTAGAACATGGGTCCCTCCATCCTTTCTGTGTTCTTGGGTATTCTAGGCCCTCTGTTCTATAATCATTTTATAATCAGATTATCAAATTTTATAAAATCTCTACTAGGATTTTGACTGGAACTACATGGAATCTATATATCAATTTGAGACAATACCTCTAGAATATTTAATCACTCAATCTGAAAAAATTTTCTTTGTATTTAAGTTTTCCTATTGTTTTAAGGTTCCTTTACTTTTAAATAGACATCTTTTAAAGTTATTTAAAGTTAGGGCTTATCAGTTCTAATAATTCTTCTATGTTTTAAAAATATTTTTATTTTTTATGTGTATGAGTGTATTGCCTGCATGTATGTGAGTGCACCTGTGTCGTGCAATGCCTTGGAGGTCAGAAGAGGGCTTCGGATTCCCCTGGAATTGGAGTTAAGGATGATTCGTAGCTGCCATGTGGGTGCTACAAATCAAACCCGGGTCCTCTGCAAGAGCAGTCAGTGTTCTTAACCGCTAAACCATCTCTCCAGCCCTTCTTCTATATGTTTTTTATGTATTCTGAGTAGACAGCATATGACCTGTAAACCAAAGCAGATGCTTTCAAGTCCTCTTTATGTTCCTTTCTTTCCCTGTGTTATTGCACTGCTAGGATAATTAGTAGAAGGTTGACTTTATAAGTGTAGACATCTTTGGTTTATTTCTGGTTTCTTGGTCTTTTTGAGATGGGGTCTCCCTGTAGCCCCAGCTGTCCTGGAACTCACTATGTAGACCAGGCTAGCCTTGAACTCACAGAGATCTGCCTGACTCTGCCTCCCCAATGCTGGGACTACAGGCATGTGCCACCACGCCCAGTGGTTTATTTCTGTTTTTATCCTTTCATTAACAACATGATAACTTGCTACAGCATGTTTTATCATTTTAAAATTTACACAGAGTAAAACTATGATTTAACACATGTACTCAGTTTATGTAATCATGACTGTGATCAGGATATAGAACTGTTCTCTCTCTAAACAACTTCCACATGCTGTGCTACATCCTTTCACTCTACCCCCTCCTCTTCCTTAATCTCTGGCAACTATTGATTTGTTTTCTGTCCTGCAGTTTTGCCTTTCCCAAAATCAAAAAAATGGAAGCAAAAATTATAGAATCTTTCAAATTGGCTTCTTTCACTTATCCTAATGTCTTCAAAACTATCACAGTAGGTCAGGAGTGAAGATGCATGCCTATAGCCCCAGACCTGGGGAGGCTAAGGCAGGAAAATTGTGAGTTCAGAGCCAGCTGGGCTACAGAAGTGAGTCAACGGACAACTGGCTACACTGTGTGAAAACAACCACTGTCCATTCACCCACCATAGTTGTTCAAACCTAACAAGAATGGCAAACTCAAGGTTTAGTAAATGTTCATTCTTCTGTTGCCTACATTCCTAAAATTTAGGTAAATAAGAAAAGCCCACAGAATAGTGCTATTACATGGAACTTTACACATAAACCATTACTGCTGAGATTTCTTCCTTGGTCATAGCCTTTATTTATTTTTAAAAGTTCATCACAATTTTTGGTGCCATATGGCATGGAATGCTATAACTGACATTCCTAACTATGAGACAGCATCACACACTTGGAAGACCGCTTGGCTATACTGGGAGGTAGTTCAGCGCTGTGATGAAGATGGGTGTTGGCATCACACAGGCTTACATTTAAAAACATCAGTTCCTTCCACATGCTCCCTTTACTTTCAGACCACAGGGACACACATGAAAACAGTGCTATCTGTGAGTCTATATGGCAGTTCAAATAACTAAATCCATCTAGTTACTTTTAAAAAACAAATGACTTAATTTTCTTAAATAATATAGAAAAAGTGAACATACCTAAGACAACTAAAGTTATTTTGTTCTTAACAAGCAAAAAATGGGGCTGGAGAGATGGCTTAGCAGTTAAAAGCACTGACTATTCTTGCAGAGGACCCGGGTTTGAGTCCTAGCACCCACATGGTGGCTACGAACCATCCTTAACTCCAGTTCCAGGGGAATCTGACACCCTCTCCTGACCTCTGCAGCACTGCATGACATACACATACATACAGGCAATATACTCATATACATAAATATAAAATAATAAATAAAATGGGGGATGGAGAGATGGCTCAGCAGTTAAGAACACTGGTTGTTCTTGCAGAAGACCCAAGTTTGAATCCTAGCACCCATATGGCAGCTAACAACTGCCCATAACTCCAGTCCCAGGGGATCCGATAGCCTCTTCCGACCTCCTCGGGCATTGCACGACACGGGTGCACTTACCTACATGCAGGCAATACACTCATACACACAAAATAAAAATAATAAAATTAAAAAAAATTTTTTAAAAAAGCAAAAAACTTTCTAGAATTTTGTACATTTACTCTGGTAGAGGTTGTCATCAGCTAAATAATTCAATTTCTAAACAAAATATACCTCCATCAAGAGTAAGTTTTGACCGCCATTCAACAGGTAGAAATTCAACATGTGTTGCATGGTTGGAAAAATGCCTTTCTTCTATTTTTCTTGCAGCCTCTCTCATCCTAAAAAATAAAACAGATACAAGCAAAACCAAACTTTGAGAGTAACTTCATACTGTATTTACATGGTCTCTTTCTTCACAACATTTCCATTTGCAACTCTGTCCACCTAATTCCACTTACTGCTGTACCAAGTTTGTGACACCAGGGCACCTCTATTGCAGTTATTTTCCTGTTGGTCATCTATGACTTCAAATGCTCCCACCTTTTACATTATACTCTGAATAATGACAGCCGACTGTCATAGACATACTTAATAGATAGCATACTGAATGAACCTGTGTTACACTGGTCTCCAGACATCAGTGAGTCACTACTATCTCACTTCACCTCTTCTATATGGTCTCTATAGTATAGATTTTTAAATTTTATTTTGAAAACTAAGAGCAACAAATTTCTAATTTTCCTTTTAGTGTCAGTTACATGGATTTTACATGGATGGGTTTGTGATTAGTACAACATAATGAAGATTATCACTTAGCAGCTCATTATGAAAAACTCATGCAATCCCTTTAATAGGCACATCTTTCTTTTCTATTTTAAAGCAAATCCCAGGTATCACACCATTTTATTGCTTCCCTTTTCTTCTATACACATGCATGCACTGAACCCAGGGCGTCAGGTAGGCTAGCCAATTGTTTTAACACTGTTATATCATTAGCTCTCTAGACTTATTTATTTTTGGTGCTGGGATGTGAACTAGGACCTTGTACATGCTAGGAAGGTGCTCTACCACTTGAACTACATCCCTGTCATTTTATCTCTCCAAATAGCATATTTTCTAAAATAGCATCTATTCAATATTATGGTATTACAAATTAGTAATTTTTAATTTTAGTGAGTATGGCTGACTATAAATACTATTTTACAATTAACATTAAGGCATTTTATTTTTGTTTACAGTCCAAATATTATAGTTAATGTACTGCAGGTTGGAAGACAGATCTCAAGTGTCTTTTTTAAAAAAAGATTTTGTCTATTTTTACTTTACGTGTATGAATGTTTTACCTGCATGTATATAAGTGACTCCCCATGTGTGCAATGCCCACAGATCAGAAGAGGGCCTCAGAGTCCCTAGAACTGGAGTTAAGTATGGTTGTTAGCAGCCACATGGGTGTTGGGAAGAGAAGTGCTTTTAACCACTGAGCCATCTTTCCAGCCCCATTTCAAGTGTCTTTACAGATTCCTTTCCACCTTCTCTGTGTGTGCGCGCGCCTATTGGGCCTTCAGAGTCTGTGTGCTAACTGCTCTCCTGTGACATTATTAACACGCTCTTCCTATCCCACAGTTGCTATGAATTTGTAGTGAGATGCAGAGGCCTGATCAGATTCCAGTTCTGTTTGGTAAGATTCCCGCCCCCTCCACATTCATATACCTGATTTCTTTTCTTTTGGGTAATGCTAGTGGTTATGGAGGATCATTGCTTTAATCTACTGACCTATAACAGTTTCAAAAAGTACTTTCCAAATTTCATTACTTGGTATTTCTATTTCTAGAAACAAATTTACCTCACATCAAATATTTGGCTGCCTTGAGGTATATTTCTGTATAAAGTGGGATACAGTTCAACTAGCAAAGGCAGGACATATGTTTAATTCTTCCCTTTTACCAGCAGCTTTAAAATTAATGAGTGGTTAGGCTTATTGCATTCTGACACTGTATTAGTCCATTTAAGAATATTTATTATTTTTATTTTATATGTATGCATGTATTGCCTGAATATAGGTAAGTGTCCTCCTTGTTGTGCAATGCCCGAGGAAGACAGAAGAGGCTGTCGGAGTCAGTGTCTCAGGTATCTCAGGCAGGCCTTGACTTCATAACATAGCTGAAGATGACCTTGAACTTCTGATCCTCCTGTTTCCATCTCCAGAGCGCTGGGATTATAGGCACCACTACCTCTGGTTTATGCAGTGGTGGAGACTGAAATCAGGGCTACATTCTGGCCCTCCATTGTAGTTATCCTTAGTCTGTGAGTTTCTTCAGCTTGGTTTCTGTGAACTTTCAATACAACTTCACAATATATATACATTTTTTAAATGCCTTTAGTTCCGACACTCAGGAGGCAGAGGCAGGTGAATCTCTGTTGAGTTTGAGGCCAGCCTGGTCTACATAGCAAGTTCCAGGCCAACTGGGGCTACAGGAAGACTCTGTCTCAAAAAGACAGAAAAAAAAAAAAAAACCCAAAAAACCCACCATGATTATATCGAAAGATTTTGTATAGGTTGGAGAATGTGGAAAGGGAATGAATGGCAAACTCACATTACAGGAACTGTGACAAATTTTACATTATTGTTGAAGTTTGGTAGTACAGTTTTATCAGTGAACAATATTCAAAAATTATGATAAGCCAGGTGTGGTGGTACACGCTTTTTAAATCCCAGCACTCAGGAGGCAGAGGCAGGAGTTCTGTGAGATCAAGGCCAGCCTGGTCTACATAGTGAGTTCTAGGCTAGCTGAGGTTACAAGGAGACCCTGTTTCAAAAAAGAATTATGGAAGACATAAACAATTTTGACTTTATACTCTAAGATAGCTACATATTTTTAGCTTAGTTATTACAGCACTCTTTTTTTTACTTCCCAGATTGTGATTTTTTATCTCTAGAAGTTCAATTAGGGCACAGGTGAAGGCATACTGGACTGAAGAAGAGGAATAGAAAAATAACGGAAAACCTCTTGGTACCTGGTAATGGAAGAGGTCCAACATCAAGGCCTGGATGCCTAGGACCACAGCTGGAACTGAGAGAGGTGGGAGATCCATTTCAGAAAATCAGTCCTCCCAAGACCAGAATCTGCAAATAACAGAGGCCTCCCCTGCCACTAGTGTAAGAGACAAAGCCACTGCCATGCACAACCTGGGACCTCAGGGGAGGGGCTGTGGTGAATGTAGTCACTCAGAGAGACTGAAACTGCTGTCCAACATCAGAAGTCCTCCATGCTCTACTCTGCTCCACCACCAGAGGGATGTGAAATTGTGGCTCATGTAGGGGTCCAAAGCTTATGGCTCAGTTGAGGGGACCACAACTCCAGTTTATGGTTCTCAGAGCAGAACCACAGCTTCTCCTCATGGGTGTGTGTCTGTGTGTGTGACGGTGATGACACAACACACCACAGCCCTACTTCAGTCTTTCTTTCCTTTAAACAACTCAGTAGCTTAGGTATGTTCACAAATGTATGTAACCATCACCACTACTTAATTTTCTTAATGTTCAGAATTTTCATCACTCCAAAAAGAAACACCACATTCTTTGGCAGTCACTCTATACCTATGTTCCCCTCACCCCACCCACCAACCTCCCACCCTCAAGGCTCTGGTAACCATGAAGCTACTTTCTGTTTCTAGATTTGCCTATTCTAGGCATTTTATATTACTGCAATCATATAATAAGTAATCTTTTGTGTCTGGTCTTTGATTTAGAATGTTTTCAAGGTTCATCAATGCTGCCCTACAAATCAGTACTTCTGTTTTTGTTTTAACTGTTCGGCAGTTTTATGACTTTGACTCTCAGCAGTTCTCATCCACATTGACTGCAGACTGCTGAATGTCGTGGTAACAGGGGCATAGGTTACCAAAGTATAGAACTTGTTTGGTGACTTCTCATCCTCATTATGTTTTCTGGACAAATGCACACAGACATGACATATGGAATTTCCTTATTCCTTTGGTCTAGACAGCTTTGTTCAATCTGGTATCAATGCACACACTTGGTGCACCCATCTCCTTCACGGCCAATTTCCAGATTTCCAGAGTGTCTGAGAGGCACGTTTCTTGAGGCCTAGTCCATGGATGCACTTGTAAATATTGATGGGTCACTACCTCCTTGATAGCAGAATGGCCCTTCTTGCCATCTTCTTTGTGGGCGCCATTCTGCTGGCCCAAGTTAAATAAGAAAGGTGCGAGGGATTGCCATGTCACTGTTTTTTAATTGTTGAATAATATTTCATTGAATGGATGTACCACCTTTATCCATTCATTAATGGATGAACATCTGAATTGCTTCTATTTCTTAGTTACTATAAATAATGCTGTTGTGAATATTTCTTAACAAAACCAACCCCTTCCAAATTTAATACATTAGATATATCATGTCAATAAAATTTCCCTTTTAATAAAACTCCATAAAAAGTAAACCTATTGTACTTAAAAGTAAACCAATTTTGATATTTCTAGTTATCTGCAAACTTTCTCCTCAACTTATGTAAGTAATAAACATATTTTGCTGCAAGAAGTCATTAAACACGTTTGAATTCACTGACGAGTTCACTAAAATAAGGCAGGAAGGAAGCACCTATATTTCCAAAAGAATGTCAGAGACTCGGGCTGCTGAAGAAGAGGATCGCGGTTACTCCCTGGCCTCTCCACTTCACTGACTGCGGAGCAGCACTGATGAACTAAGTTAACGCTACTTTCTACTTTCTTCTTTTTTGCATGTGTGTCTACATGTGGATATATTTGAGAGTAGCTCCAGCGTGAAGGTGGGCAGAGATGACGGGACTCCAATGACTGACTTGGTAGTGTCACTCCTAGACTAAGTACAGTGAATTACCAAATCCTGCTTTTGGCATCAGCCTTTTTAGACTAAGCTGTGCTTCACTTGTACGTGAATAAATCAAACTTATTTGTCAATGATGACAGGGAGACTATGTCAATAAACCTAGTTTTCAGCATCCTGATATTCAAGCAAAAGCCAAGCATGGTGGCACACACCTTTAATCCCTGGACTTTAAAGGCAGAGGCAAGCGGATCTCTGGGAGTTCAAGGCCAGCCTGGTCTCCAGGCCAGCTGGGGCTACAGGAAGACCCTGTCTCAAAAAGAGAAAAAAAAAAAAATCAAGCAAAAGCTGTATCCTGATCTAATTATCATGTCACATAATATACAACTCATAAAATAAAAATATAATTACAGGCACAAGATTCCTATAATAAGAATAAAGGGGTCTGAAAAGAAGTAGGGCAGCCTGCTAGTACCTAACAAAACAAGTTTTAACTTGTATAATACTTTTACTTGAGTCCTTCAGCTGGCATTACTATCTCACAATAAAGGCTCTTCCAGACAGTAACCCAACATACTACAGGAAAAATGAACAGCAGACCCCAATTCTATCCAAAGGTGTCTTA